AGGCATCAATTCCTCTGTCATACCCATTCAATGTCCAACTTTCAGATGCACAAGGATCTAATTGAAAGTACCATGGCTTAGATCAGGCACATTTTAATCTTTAAGCTGACATCATTACTCTTTAGAAGTTTGGGGAGGTCCTTGCCAGCAGATTTTCAAAATGTAATACATGTTTTGAATTATTGACTACTGCTACCGTGGATATGGATTGTGGATCCAAGAAAAAGAAAATAATTAGCAACTTCAATCTTGTAATCTTATCTCTATGATGTTGTCTATTGGTCTGTTGTTGTTGTTGTTGTTATGTGTCATCAAGTCAGCTATGACTCATAGTGACCCTATGCATGATAACTCTGCTCTGTCCTGAACTCATCTTACTGTCTTTGACACATCTATCCTCATTATTCCAGTTATGGCGTCAACCCATCTTATCCAAGGTCTTCCTCCTCTGTACTGTCCCTTGACCCTTCCAAGCATGATATACTTTTCCAACAACTGTTACTTTCTGGCAATATGCCCAAAGTATATGAGATGGAAACTCAGTATCCTATATCCAAGGAGCAGTTTGGTTTCATTCTCTCCAAGACAGATCTGTTTACCTTGGCAATCCATGGTATGTTCAATATTCACCTCAGCACAAATCAAAGACATCAATTTCTATCCAGTCATTCTTTGTCATTGTTCAATTCCTTGTCCAACTCTACAGTGACAGCTTTGCTCTTAAGCACTCTAGAGTGTTCCCTGACAAGACATTTTCCTAATTTAATATAATTTAATTTCTTAATTGCTAGTACCAAAAGTACTGAAGAGCAATGATGTAGGTCTGGAGACTAAGGTGTGCCTGATCCAGGCCATAGTCTTTGCAATTACTTGCTATGCCTCAGAAAGTTGAACAATGACTAAGAATGAGAAAAGGAGAATTGATGACTTTGAGCTATGGTGCTGGAGAAGAGTATTGAATATACTGTGGACTTCTAAGAGGACAAACAGGTTCATCCTGGAGAGGGTGAAACCAGGTTACTCCTTGGAGGTAAGGATTCTGAAGCTTCATCTGAGATACTTTGGACATGTTGCAAGGAGGGACCAGTGCTTGGATAGGGATGACATTCTTGGGAGGGGAGAGGGACAGCATAAAAGAGAAAGATCCTGGATGAGATGGAGTGACTCAATGACTGGGGTAAGGTGTGTCAGAGACAGTAAGATTGGTACAGGATAGAGCAGAGTTTAGGTTTGTTGCACATCGAGTCACTACGAGTCACAGCACATAATAACGACAATAGTACCAAGATTGTTGATTGCGGAACTGAGCAATCTGAAATTGTTAACAATTTCAATCTTTTCTCCATCTATCATGGTGCTGCAAATCAGCCCAGTGGTAAGAATTTTCATATTGCCAATTACAGTCCTTGACCCTTGCAGCAAATGCTTTAGGACTTCCTCAGTTTCAGCAAGTAGGGTTGTGTCAGCTGCATAACATAGATTGTTGATGGGTCTTCCTCCAATCATGATGCCACATTCCTCCTTATAAATTCCAGCCTCTTGTATGTTCTGTTCTTCATACAGATTGAAAAGGTATGGAGACAGAGCAAATCCCTGACACATTCCTTTTCTAATTTTGAACCATGCAGTATTTCCTTGCTCTGTTCTGATGACTGCTTCCTGGTCCAAGTAGGAAGGATTTTTTTTCCCTCTAATGTTTATATGTAATCCATATTGAAAGTTGTAATCTTTGATCTTCTGCAGTAAGTACTTTAAGTCTTCTTCACTCTATACAAACAATTTGCTGTGTCATCTGCGTAACAGGTTCTTAATGAGTCTTCCTCCAGTTCTGAAGCTGTATTCTTCTTCATCTTGTGCAGCTTCTCCAATTATTTGCTCACTGTACAGAGTGAATAGGTATGGAGAAAGAATAAAGTCCTGATGCGCACGTCTCCTTAATTTAAACCATGCAGTCAATGTTCCTTTGTTTTGTTTAGACAATAGCTTCACGATCTGTATCTGTTTCCCAGGAGCATAAGTGTTCTGAGATTCCCATTATTTTCAATGCTAGCCATAATTTGTAATGATTCACAAAGTCAAATGCCTATGCATAATCAGTAAAATGCAGTTAAACATCTTGATTACAGCCTTTGAAAGATCTATGATGCAAAGCTGTGCTCAAAAGCATAGTTTTTCACTCGAGTCAAAACTAATTCAGCAGCAACTGTGCTATTGAAGTTTCTGTGTCTGCCTATTTATTGAGCCCCTTCCTACCACCACTCTTCTTGCAACTTCCCTTCTCCATCTCAGTCTATCAAAATTTGATTCACCTTCAAAGACCAATCCCAAATGCCTTCTCTTCCATGTATTAAAAAAAAAAATACTAGTTTGCTTACAAAGTTCGTATATGTTACTTTTCATACTGGATCTTTTCCTTCACCAACTTCATCCTTATTCCCAAATACCAATGTGTTCCATCACCTCTAAATCTCCATAGCTACATGTGAAAACCTTTCTTTGTGTGGTAATTATTACTATTCTTGTGTTATAATTAGCTGAGATTTTGACTAATGTCTCTTACATTGTCATGAGGGTAAAGACTGACTCTGATACAGCCATTGTTCCCAAGGATAGATGATCTGAGTTTTAGAATTAATTATTCAGTTAGAATATGTTTACTGAGGTCCTACTGTGTCCTACAAAAGAGCTCTGGTTGTCTAGTGGGAAGAGAGTTGCACTGCCAATCCAAAGGCAAGAGGTTCAAATTGGCAGCTGCTCCATAAGAGAAAAATGGACAACCACTCGCTATGTGATGTAAAACCTCTGAAAACCTGCTGAAGAGTCAGCTGGGGGTCAGTTCCAACTTGATGGCAATGAGAGTCAAGAGACTAGGTGTCAGGAAGTGTGACTAGGATTACAGTAGATGCATGAAGCAAATATACATCCAAAGAAAAGCTTAAAAAGGAACTCCCAAAACATATACAATATGAACTATTCAGATTCTAATCTGTAGACATTAGGATTTCTGCACTTTATATGTAGGATTTTCAAAATATCAATAAGCATCGATGTTATTAAAACAATGTGTCATGTTGAAGAACTTGAGTTTACTATTTCAAAATGTTAAGCTCCAGTCTTTCTCTGATGCTTCATACAGCATGGAAACTTCAGTGTGCAGGGGTTCTGTGTAACTAAAAGGTTTTCAATTGTAGCTGCCATGAATTGTTTTCTGATTAATCAATTTGTAAGAAGGGAATGCAATCAAAATACACCTCCCTGTGTATCACTACAGTCTTTATTCCCCTCTGTAAACCCAAAAGTTGGCATTCATTCCCATCTACTCACATTTTTCTATCTAAAAGAGGTACTTAGGTTTGTCATTCATGGGATTCATTAAGGTAAATTCAACTTCACAAACTTCTGATCCATCTTTTCAGCCAATGGCTACTTTTTCTTTTCAGGTTTTGAGACAAAATCATATGGTAAAAATAAGAATCAAAAAACTGAAGAAAAGCTCTTGAACAGGGACCATTCTTCTCCAAGTTCAGAACCAATTTTTCTCAAAGAGAAATAAGGAAACCAGTAATTGTCTGTTTTTAATTGCAGAGAGTTTTCAAATGTTTATGAAAGCAGAGGAACCTCTTTTCTTACAATGTCCAGCAATATCAAGTCCACTCATTAAGGTTTAATATACTTTTTTATAAAATGTAATTTAATGGCAAATTGTATATGAAGGCTTCCTAGAGCAGATGGTGGTTAAGTCAACTTCTATCCCTGCCCCTCCCCCCGCAAAAAAAAAAAACCCAAATGAAATTATCCTGGAAGAAGTTGTCTGGACAAGTTAACTTGTAGATATTTCCTCCTAGAGCTAATATCCAATAATACTAAGGTCTGTGACCTAGACCACAGCAATATCCATTCTCTTCATAAGTCAGTTTTCCTACCCTGGAAAATTTTCTTCTTGAAGGTCATTGTTATGTTGTTATGTGCCATCAAGTATAGTGTGTTTTTAGAAGTACTTAATTGCACAGGAAGAGATTGCCCAACTTTCTCCAGTGGAGCCAAAGGAGAATTCGAACCACATGTCTTTGGATTGGCCACACAGCTCCTTACCACTAAGCCACCAGAGATGCCCTCTTGAAGGAAGGACTGGTTTATTATTTCAGAAAGATCAGCATTAACTAGGGCAGAGCCTAATGCAGGGAAGACATATGTTACATGCTTCTTTAAAAGGAACTAGACTTTCAGGTAGGGCCTTCGGGAAAGATGGCCATGGTACAGGAAGCTGAAGTGAAAGTGGGCTGAGTAAGAAGTGGTGGTAAACCCTAGTTCTGGCGTATTCTGCCATGTTGACGCAAGCTGCCGTCAGGCTTGTCAGGGGTCTCTGCACCAAACCCCCTGGGCTCAGTGGGGTCAGAGGGAGCTGCGACTGGGCCAACTTGCTCCTTTCACAGTGCTTCACAAGGACAGACCAATTTCTGATAAAAGAAGTGAGCTGTTTAAAAGAGATATGTGATTAGGTACTATTGTCATGACAGGAGTCCAGAATGAAGGCTGCATAGTGGGATGGACTTGGGGAGAAGGATTGTATAACAGTGAAAGAATTTTTCTTTTACTTTCAAAGAAAAGAGTGAACTGGGGAGGGGAAGGGGCGGACAGGGAGAAAAATGCAACAGTGAGTGAGTGGAAATTCAAAGTCTTTGTAAATTTTCATTTAAATTAATAATAATAATAATAAACTTTAAAAAGTGAGCTCAAGAGGCACCTGAAAGCTGAGAAGAAAGTAGCAGAGAAGGAAGCAAAGCAGAAGGAACTTAGTGAGAAAGAGCTAAGCCAGGCTGCTGCAATGGCGTGAGCACTGAGGAGGAAAGCCTGGACCCCAATCAATACGACAAGGTCCACAGTCAAGCAGTCCCACAGCTGAAGGTGAGCAGGGAAGACTGATATCCACCCAAGTTCCATGTGGACATCTCACTCACTGCGTTCATCCAGAAGTACAATCACCTGCAGCCTGGGACCACATGACGGATATCACCTTAAGGGTGGCAGGTAGGATCCATGCCAAAAAAGCTTCTGGAAGCAAGCTCATCTTCTATGACCTTCAAAGACAGGTGGTCAAATTGCAAGTGATGGCTAATTCCAGGAATTACAAATTAGAAGAAAAAGTCGTTCATACCAATAACAAACCACATCGAGGAGACATAATTGACATCCAGGGAAATCCAAGAAAGGTGAGCTGAGCATCCTGCCCTACGAGGTCAAGCTGCTCTCCCCATGTTTGCATGTGCTGCCTCATCTACACTTGGGCTTCAAAGACAAGGAAACACGTTATCATCAAAGATACTTGGACTTGATTCTAAATGACTTTGTGAGGCAGAAATCCAAGATCACCACATACAGAAGAAGTTTTTTGCATGAGTTGGGATTCCTGGAGATTGAAACACCCGTGATGAACATCATCCCCAGAGGCACAGTGGCCACACCTTTCATCATGTACCACAATGAGCTGGACATGAACTTATATATGCGAATTGCTCTAGAGCTCCACCACAACATTCTGGTGGTTGGTGGCCATGACCAGGTTTATGAAACTGGATGTCAGTTGCAGCATGAAGGGATTAATTTGATTCACAATCTTGAGTTCACCACATGTGAAGTTCTACATGGCCTATGCAGACTACCACGACCTCATGGAAATCACAGAGGAGAGGATGTCAGGGATGGTGAAGCACATCACTGGCCGTTACAAGGTCACCTACCATCCAGATGGCCTCCAGGCCCAAGCTTATGAGATCGACTTCACTCCACCCTTCAGGAGAATCAGCAAGGTGGAAGAACTTGAGAAAGTCCTGCGGGTGAAGCTGCCAGAAACGAACCTCTTTGAAACTGAAGAAACATGCAAAATTCCTGATGATATCTGCACAGCAAAAGCTGTTGAATGTCCTCCACCTCACACCACAGCCAGGCTCCTTGATAAGCTTGTCGGAGAGTTCTTGGAAGTAACTTGCCTCAGCCCACATTCATCTGTGATCACCCACAAATAATGAGCCCTTTAGCCAAGTGGCACCACTCTAAAGAGGGTCTGACTGAGTGTTTTGTTGTTTTTGGGTTTTTTGGTTGTTCTTTTTTGCCCAAGCATTTTGAGCTCTTTATCATGAAGAAGGAAGTGTGCAATGCCAACACTGAGCTGAAGGACCCCATGCAGCAGGAACAGCTCTTTGAAGAACAGGCCAAGGCCAAAGCCGCTGGTGACAATGAGGCCATGTTCATAGATGAGGACTTCTGTACTGTCCTGGAATATGGGCTGCCCTCGACACCTGGCTGGGGTATGGGCATTGACCCGGTCACCATGTTCCTCATGGACTCCAATAATATCAAGGAAGTACTTCTATTGCCTGCCATGAAACCTGAAGATAAGAAGGAGGACACAGGAGCCACTGATAATCCGGAGAGCAACCCAGTTGGCACTTCTGTCTAGGACATGATTGCAAATCATGCAGTTCAGGCTTCTTCCCTTCACACTGCTGCGAAAGAGCAAGGTCTGCACAGAATCCAAGTCTGTTGCTCTCCATGTTGCTACTACCGCTCAGTTCAGGCACCAGAAGAAAGAAGAGGAATTAAGAATTCTTGTTTATTCCTTATTATAAAATAAATCACTTGCCTGTGTTAAAAAAAAGGAACTAGAAATTTCAGGTTTTGTGAACATACATAAACAGAACTTAGACCACTATGTCTACTAGACTTGCAATTTAAACCAGTCACACCTCTGCTGGCGTTTTCTTTCATTTTGCCATATGTCCTGGAATAACAATGTAAATGATATTTTCAGTTGTCATTCAACTTCGAACCTTTCCAGATGTTCTTTCTGGCTATTGAGTCACCTGGCCTTCACAGCCATTGCAATTCCACGTCTCTGCTTTTTACTGTGCTCTTATCACTACCTCTTGCTTCTCTTCTGTCTTAAGCATTGTTCTGGCAACAAAGACCAATGCCTGTCAACTTTGAGGAAGGCACTATGCTAGGTATGGTAACCTAAGTTTGAGGCTCTTCAACCTCCACTGCCCTCTCACTTACTAGTTTATCTCTCCTGAGCAGAAGTACTTCCCTTCCCCCAAGTTCTTGAATTAGGGAAAGAGGTCAGAAATGAAATGCTATCTCATCAGTCCTATTTAGAAATGCATAATCCTTATTGGATTTTGTCCAAGTGGGAAAGAGGAATTCATTTTTTCTCCCATCTCAAATTGAACAACAGCTAAGGAAAAGTGAGGGGGATGGATTTAAATTAGAAAGGCTCTATTAAATCAGTCAAATCAAAGCCGATTCACTCCAGGTACTGTATGCATGAAAAGGTGTAATTATGAAAATTTGATATTTTTCCATTTTTATGCATATTCAGTTTGTGAACTTAGACCTCTAGAAGCCTCCTCGGACTGCTTGCTCATTTTTAATAAGTACTGAGGATGAGGCACTTCCTGAAGGAATTAAGGAGGGAAAGTTTTTTAAATAAAAAAATAAAACTCAACCACAAAACCCCCTCTAGAAGTAAAGTTAAAACCCAGCTATTCTGCTGGTTTATGTGTGCTTAAAGCGTGCCACAAATAAAATGAACCTCTTGGGTGTCAGTGCAGAAATAATAGTTTAGCAATTAAGGGGACAAGTCATCCATCAGAAATGAAATCTTATGAGTTGCAATTTCTAAATAATATCAGTGGGTCTGTGTGTAGTGGCTGTGAGTATTTATCTTGTGAAAAGGAAGAGATTTTTAAAGAAATCTTGGAGGACTCTGTAACTTAAAGTCCAGGAATGCCAGCTGGGCTTTAATGGCCAAGAGACCAGTCAGGTGAGAGAAGAGATAAGAATCACCTCACACTGTGCTAACTCCTGCCCATTCATTCTAGGGAGCTGCCAGCCACCAGGCTCTTCAGAGGGATATCACAGGGCCACAGGCTGAGGGAGCAGGTAAAGGAAATGGAAAAGATCCAATGGGGACCTGAAAAGATAGGGTGATGGGGAGCATAGTTCAATGGTGATTAAAATATAGTACAGGGGGATGATTGTATGAAATATAGTGTGATTGAAGGAAAGTGTGAAACATATTTTCTACTAATTTTGTATGCAAATCAATATAAAATAAAATTTTAAAAAGAAACCTGTTAAGAAAAAACATCAGGGAGAGTGAAGAGGCCAATTCTTGTGTGCCACTTTCCCTCACCTTGAAAAGAAAAATTAACGCTGTGAACTTCTCAATTCCACGAATCTCTAAGGAGATAAATCTGTAGATTTACAGGAATTAGCAATGAATGTTGTGAGCACCACTGAAATCATTAGTTTCAAGAGTTCTTGCTTCAACAGTAGAAGACCAGAGACGTTGCCACTCGCCCAGGGTCACACAGCCTGTTCAGAGAAGCTGTTTTTATTGCTCAACATGTTCACAACCACTAAGAAGAAAGGCTAGGCTGTGGGATGGGTTCTCCTCAGCAGTCAGCTCTGCCATCCTATTATTATTTATTCCATGTCCGTCTGGTTCAAGTTAGAGCAAAGTGTGAAAGGAGTATGTGGGTTGTGCTGTAAGTTTTCTTGTCACTATTGCATGAAAGCAGTAGCAAGTGTGGGGGCAAGATGACCCCATCAGAGTTGGACAGACTTAACTCTCGTCTTCCGAGTCTCCTCGGTATGATATTTATGTGCAAGATGTGCGGGATTTCACACAACAGGTGGATGCATCTGTGGAGAGAGCCATTAGTTGAATGTCAGGGTGGTTTGTCTTATTCTTAGAATCTGGGCTCTTCCCCTATGGTAGATGATGGGATCTAAAATATTTATGTGGCTTTATAATGACTATTTAGCATTTACATGCACCTGGCATTTGCCAGAGTGCTTGACAATCAGTGTTTATTAACAGGAAAATTGCTGTGAGTCAATCTGCCCTGTGATATTTGGGGAGTAAATCTCTTTGGGGCTACAGGGAGGGTGTTTCTGGGATCGATATTGAGATCCATGATTCAAAGTCAATTCATTTGCCAAGTTTTGCCTAAAGCCTCATATTTAAACTTCCCCCTACTTTGCTAGACTTCATGCCAAGAATTGCAAAGGGTTGTTGTTGTTCAGTTCAATCAAATCAGCTCAGAGCAAACGTATTTACAACAGAACAAAACTCTCTTCAATCCTGTAAGCCCATTGCTGAAGCCAGAGTGTCAATCTATCTTACTAAGAGTCTATCATTCACTGACCTTCCACATTTCTGAGCTTGGTGTCCTTCTCCAAGAACTGGCACCTCTTGATAATACACCCAAAATATGTGAGACAAAGTCTCTCTCCCCTTGCTCCTAAGGGGCTGTACTTTTCCTGGACAGACCTAGTTGATCATTTGGCAGTGTATGGTATGTTTAATGTTCTTCTTGAAGAGTAGTTTGAAGATCATTCATTTTATTTACTCATCAAGCACTTAGCAGGCATTAACTAAGATGTTGGGGATGTAGGAATACTAAGACTGTGCCCAAGTCTGGCTCGAGTGTTTCTCCATCATACCCCCATCTAGTCTGAGCATAGCCAGTGGTTTTCAATGGAGATTAGGGTATATGGCTAAGTCTGAAGACATTTTTTATTACCACTCCTAAACAAGGGGACATGCTAGTTGACATCTGATGGATAGAGGGCAAGAATGCCACTAGCTAACCTTCATTGCAAAGGATAGCCCCCACAACAAAGAATTATAAGGTCCAAATTGCCAAAAGTGTCAAGGAGAGGAGCCTTGGGATGGCCTTTACCTCTCTGGTTTATACTAGGTTATATGGCAGTCTCCCCTACTGTACTGGAAGGTATTTGAGTGCAGAAGCCATTCCTTATTTTGGGTTCTATCCCACACACAAACACTCCTTGCCACTGAGTCAGAACTAATTCATAGTGATCTTCCAGCAGGGTTTGGAGGCTGTAAATTGCACAAAAGGAGATTGCTCCTTTTCCGCCCACGGAGCCACTGGTAGATTCAGACCACCAGAGAGGTGCCACCTTTGGGTTTTCAGTGCACCTCCCTACAAACTACACCCCCAGAGTTTCCCTTGATCGTATCCCCACACATGTCAAATACAAGGCAGAATTCAACATGCAGATGATACATTTCTATTTGTTAAAGTTAATGTTAAAGCTATCAACACATAGTGTTGAGTGAATTAATGAACACAATACCCTAAATTTCAGGGAACTTACAAACTCAAGGATAGAAATAGGTACACGATTTGGAGATAAATTATGACTGGTTTGCATAGTAGTAAAATATGAGCTATTTTGTGTAACCAATTGTTTATCAACCAAATCGACACACTTTTGGGCAAAGGGGAAAGGATTATTTGATGCTAAATATATTTGCCATCCTGACATTATTCACTTGTGCAAGTACATGGCATTGTGTCTATCACGGGTAACCATCACATTGTCTACATTCATGCTTTCCCATCACCCTTCACCACTCACTGGCCCCCTAAGCAGTGATCCTCTATCCTCTCTCCTGTCTACTTGTCCCAATCAAATTTAGTCTATTACATTTGAGCCCAGTGTAATTATGATTTAGAGGAACATTCTTCACAGTGGTGCAGCACTGGTCTGTCAATTTGCTGCACTGAGGTAACTTGGAGTGGTTGTGATGATGAACTCTGTGCCATTGGAATGCCGGATGCCCTACTGGTTACCCATGGTGGACAGTGTTTGGTGGAGCTCCCATATTAAGACATGTTTGGAAGCAGGAGTGACACCTACTGCTTAAACAGTGTGCCTCTGGAAATCCTGTGAACTTTGAAAATCAACAATAGTTATAGAAAGACTTCAAGTCTTTTGTTGATAGGGTCACTATGAGTTGTGCTCAACTCAATGGCAAGCAACAACAACAACAGCATTAACAACAACATTCTCTTATTCATGGAGTTTTTGAAAGCCTGTTATTTCAGAACCGATAGCAAGTCTTGCTTCTTAGAGTCTGACTTAATCTAGGAGCATCTTTGAAACCTGTCTATCAAAGGTCACCCTACTGCTATGTGAAGGAGTGGTGATGTAGCTTCCAGTATCACAGCAATACACAAGCCACCACAACATAGCAAACTGATCAACATGAGGTCTACATGCTAGATACATTATGTAAATATAATCAGATTACGGCTACACTTTTTTGCAATTGACTTATTTCATGCTGTATAATGTTTCACGGTTCATCCATGTTGCTGTGTGTATCACTTCTTTTTATGACTAAGTAGCATTCCATTCCCACGTGTAGATCACACTTCATTTATTCATTGAACTTTTGTCTCCTGAAGATATTTATTATCTTGGTGGGCCATGATGCTCTGTGATGTGGCAGTTATATAATGGTATCTAATTTGTGTGCATAATCCTGATCATTTAATTAATAACAAGCCTTAATCTGTAAGTGGCTAAATAGGCAAGACAGAGATAGACAGGTAAAAAGGACTATGTTCATAACCATATACA